AGGTGGACAGTACCTTATCATTATGGTTTCAAAATGTGAAACATTAAGTTTTATTGGTTGTATACCTTGAAGATGTCTGAATTAAATGTTTACTATGTTTGATTCCTGGGCTGAATTAAATACAAAATGGTCAACAGAGGTTCCAAAGAGATGCTATATATCTTTAAGATACTAGTTTAGTAGAGTTATCTTTAAATAAACAGAAATCTAACAAAAGGAATAATGTATAATAGATTGACTTGATATAAGGTGTAGACATTTCCCTATTAAGGTTAAATACTGTTTAATCATTTGCTAGTTGAAGATCACTGTGGAGAAGATCACTATACAGTTACGGTATCACAGCCAACTGAGAAGATATTGTGACAACACAGCTAAGCCAGCTCCACGTGAAGTCCCACTTCAAATATTAGTAAATACATCCATATGAAAGTAGCTAACTTCTAATCATACAGAGGTATTAATTTAATTAATATTAAACCTGTAAGAAATTTTTAAAGTACCTTCTACCTATAAAAGAACTCATTTTCACAGATCCTTAAAGATATACGATACTAAAAAACACTTAAATAATACTAGATTAGAAGGCATGTAATCAGAACATGTTAACTTTGTTCACCTGGAAGTTATGAGCCACAGATATATTTATTTTAGATAGCATCTAAATAAGTAAATATATATTTGTATTATATATAATAAACACAAACTATCATCCAAAAATAACCTTCGACAAAAATTTCTGAAGTGAGAAAGATGCACTGACTCGAGAATTTCCAGCCAACAAATGGCTCTAAAAATCTGACCTTGAAATATCTCCTAACGTAACACATAGTTCGGAACAAATAAATACTTGCCAAGTCACAATTTTCAAAACGATGTTCTGCATGCTAACGCTTAAAGACCTGGCTAACAAAGGAGCTCTTAAGATCAGTCCTGATCAACTAGAGTAGCTTAATCGGGGGACATACCTGAGCATCTTGACTTCCAAGTGCAACAGGTATGATACAGCAGTGAGATGAGCTTGAAAATCCTGGAAATTAACTTAAGCTAGACTTTATGATCAAAGTCATACTCTTTCTTTGTAATATCTGACCAGGAATGATGGACCCCTGGACACAGGCAGGTTCCACTGAAAGACTCATGGTCCCCCCTCCAGAAGCTGCCAGAGTCTGGCACTCAGGTATGCGCAGAAGCATCCCCAACACAAACATTAGAGCACGGGTGATGTGGTCGGGGCTCATATGGGCATATGAGTATCCCCACAGGCACATGAGAGGTGTGGTGTAAGGCCTGCTAATTTACCTGTTTGCTATCCTCCCTGAAGTCATGAACCAAGACTTCACTGTAGCACTGACATAATTTTTGCTCTGGCAAGGTTTGAGAAAGGCATGTAACATGTAATCAGTGAAATGGCCGTGGGATGCTTTAGAGACCAGTACATTCTTGCGTGGCTAAGTAGGGTGTAACAGACGTGCTGTTTACAAGGAACCACATATCGTATCTGTTTTCACCTATTAGAATTCCCACCAGACCTTTTATCTCCACCAGATTCATACTTGTCAATGTTTGATTCTTGTTCTTTATTCTTTAAGCCATCATTATAGTCAGCTTATGAAAATAAAATCTAAGTTTGTATGTACTTGTGTAGAAAATCAGAGTACCAAAAAAATGAGGGAATCAGGAAATGTTCCATTAAAATGAATGGGTAATTACTACTTAGGTTCTTTCTAGTAGAAGAATGAATTCCCTAATAATAGGTACTATAAGAAATTAGACAAAGCTGTTCACTTTTCAAAATTAATCATTAATCCTATTATGTCTATATTACATATCCTATTAAATTACCACACATAATATGAGCCCCTCACACATCAAAAGAGAAGCACTATCATTACACATTAGTGACTTGATAATTTAACAAAAGGAACACAAATATTTGTAATTAGAAAACTACTTTTGGTAAGATCACTTTTCATTTTTCTTAGAGTAAGAAAAAAGGATGCTTCACGGGGTAAAAGCATGTAAACTTTTTTTTGACCACTAATAAAAGAAGTCCCTTAACTGTGAGTTTGAGGTTTTTAGAGATCTGTATTTGACTAATTAGGGAGAACATTCCCCATGGAAGAGTCCTGCAGCCAAGGTGAGGTCAGCACTGGAGGCTGGGGCGGGGTAGTCTGTACATTCTAACAGAGATACGCAAGATCCTGAGAACAGACGATAACCTGGGTTAAGACTGAGAAAGCCTAAGCCAGGAAACAATGTGAGCACTGGGTTTTGGTGCCCACTGGAAAAACAACTGTGTGCTTTAAGACATGCTTCCTGATAGTGTGTTTCCATGTTTTTCCTTTGCTCAGTGATCTCTGGATGGTGATAAAGGCTCTGCCAATGAAGCACAGCTGGTAACTGCCTTTGGGTGTGCTTGTGCTGGCCAGGCTTGGCACCCTTATAAGGGGACCAGGCTGACTGGAAGTCAGGGCCTCTTAGGTGATAAGAAAACAGGCCCAAAAGGAAACTGGTGAGTCAGACAGGAAATCCCTATATCGCAGTCATGAACTTGACTTTGTATGTTTAGACACAGCAGGACTAGATGAGAAAGGATGAAGGCCTATCTAACAAGGCTACTTGCAAAGTAAATATGATGCAGACAGAAGGGGGCTTAATAACTATTTCAATAATACAACAACACACATGAATTATTAAGATGAATGAGTGAATAAGGCACACGGTTACAGTTCATCAAATGTTAAGTCTCTCCAACATGGTCCCCTGAAGGTAAGTCATAGGTTTATATGATAAAACTATACATGCATCAGTTTGGGATGGGGAGGGGAGTTGTGGAGGGAGAGAGAATCGGAATCAAAATGTCTCCTATACCGTTATGAGCTCCTATGAACCACAATTTAGCAAAAGTGCTGCAGTTTAACTTAAAATCAAAATCACGAATTTGAGCCAAACTGGTCCTTTTTTTCCCTATACCACTGAAGAATATATAATCTAAATGATGCAGTAATTGGAATAGGAAAGTATGAAGGGAAATAATAAGAAATAAAAAGGAAGGCTATAGAATACTATAATTTGCAGGTTTCTCTTCATAATTTTGAACTTGTTAAATTGGTTTTGTGAGAGATTATTATCTACTATCATATGAAAACAAATTCACTCGTTGAATAATTTACTAATTACAAATTTACCAACTAAGTAGCAAAACACAACAAATTTACACAGAACAATCTGTGAATTTTCAACACATGAGAAATGTGCTGTTAGGTTTCTCCTCTGAAGGCAACATGGGATTCTCAGACCTCCTGGGCTCTGGCTTCCCAAGTATGACACAAGTATCCCTGGTTGACTTGTGAACCATTTCCCTTAGTACTGAAGTTTTACTGCACTTGTACGTCTGAACTTAAAAGTTAAAAAGTTCTGATATATAACTATGGGGATACTGGCTATACTCTCCCCTTACCCAGTCTGAAATAGCAGCCAAGTTATAGCTTTCATTTAGACCTCACCAAAGGCAGTGCCACTTTTTGCCTGAATTTTGACAACCATTTTGAAAAGGTAAGTAGCACTAAATTGGGTATCTGCATGGATACATTTTTGGCTCCACTTAGGAGCTTGAAAGCTTATGGGTAATACAGAGAAGCCAATGCTAAGATGTAGGGCTACCATATATCCAATATGCTTGGGACACTCCTGGTCTACGACCATTGTCCCATCATAATTATTAACAGCCCTTTTTACTCTTAAAAGCATCATCATTTGAAGAATAAATTATATGGATGGTAACCCTATTAAAAGGGAGAATGTAGCTTTCAAAACAGAACTTTTATTACTTTTTAGCCATTATAGTAAGAAAATCTTTGTAAAATTCCTAAGAACAGGCATTGTGTTTTAAAATATCTTTCCATCTCATATACCGACAGATGCAGCGTAAAAGGCTCAGTGTGGCCCTGCCTAGTGGCCAGAGGTCACAAGACAAGGACAGGGAGATGTCCCCATGAGCCTGAGTTATGGCCATCATTCCTCAGCTTATCTACTGGAAATGCCACAAAACTCTATAGCCAGAAGATCTCTTTTATTCCCCAACCATCATTCCAGATATATGCAATGACTTGTGTTTAGGCAACTTGCAAAATCCCCAACAATAAATGCACAATATGTACAATTAGTACGGACTGTACAATTTTTCATTTGCTACTCTGATTATAGGTTCACTATCTGATTGAGATGTATCATTGTCTTTCACTTGACTTTGAGCTTTACTGGATACAAAAGCATTAAAAGAGAGTGAAAGCCTAGGGAACAGGGGCTGTCCTTGATAGAACTGCCAGCTGTCTCAGTCTCACCTTTTGGGCCTCAGAACAGCATATGGCTTATGTCCATAGGACTAGTTTGGGTCCAGATGTTAGGTGCCAATATACACAGGTCCTCTGCCCACAAAGATGCATCACCACAAGTCACATGAAAGAGAGGGCTTTCGAGTTACTCAGGCCTCACTCTGTGTGCCTGGGCCCTTGACAGGGACAACCATGTGGTTGAAACAGAATCCATTAAGTGTCAGAAAACAGGAACAACTGGGAGATTAAATTAATAGTTCATATTTAGTTGATCTCAAGACAGCAGCAAGCTTTATACGCCAAGTAGACTCTTAATATGACACATGGTGTTTCTATCTGGAAAAAAAGACTACTGTAAAGAACAGGCTGAAGAAAGACAGTCCTGAAATTGACAACCATGAATTGGGCAAAGGAGCCCAATAGAACATGACAGTGCTATAACATTATGACATGCTCAGAGAACATTTTTTTATTCTTAGGGAAGCTCATCTTGGGAGCATGTCTTCCATACCTTTCTTCTGCTCAATGCTGCTACACTGGGTCTGTGTGACATGTCAAGCAGAAAAAAACCAGTTTCAAAAATATGAACTGATCTAGGCAAATGGCTGTCAGAATAGATTTAGTGAGCACTGGTGGAGATGAAGGATTTTTTCTTGGTCTTACCTATGCAGTAGGGACAACACTGGCCTTTTCTCAAGACAGGTCTTTCGCAGGATACGGAAGGGCAGGACTCAGAGAAACAGCTAATTACACTATCGATGCAGATGCAGCTGGTACAAACGTCAGGCTTCCAGGACTCAGCTGCCAGGAATATATCCCCTTCATCATTTTTGCAGTAATTAGGTACGCTGTCATTACGCGATAAGGGAGGCCGAAAAGGTTGATCTGGAAAAATGAACATATGGGTCAGCAAAGAAGATCAACTATGCAACATAGTGTGTTTCAAAGCACACCCAGTCATCATGGCCTTGGGTGCCTTCTTAAATAAATGATGCAGTAACAAATCAGAAAGTCTGATTCAGGAAGGCTCTTGCATTTTTAAACAAAATAACAAAGATCAAAAAAGACCTGTCACAGTTATGCTGTCAGTTGCTTACACAACATCCACTCTATCTATCTTCCTTAGCTTAGGGAAATCCTGGTTTTCTCTGGGGTAGCCCCAGGACTTGGATTACAATGCATGTAACTAAATGGGACAATCCTGTTCCCTGCTTTCCTAGGATCCTTTGAAACTAGGGTGGCTCCATCACCCGGTTGTAGCTAATGGGACCTGATGGCTAATGAGGGGATTTCTCGGAAAGCTTTCATTGTCTTCAAAGAAGGGTAGATAGGTTCCACCATCATCCTTCCACATTCTTCCTGCCTTGATAGGAACATGTGGATCACAGCTGTGACACCTCTGTCAGAAGAGAGAGACTTGACTTCACTGAGCCACTGAATCAATGCTGATAAACATCTGCCTCCAAACGTCTTGTGATATATGTAAAATAAACCTCTATTTACTTAAAAATTGCAGCTGGGTTTTCTCTTACTTGTGGCCACCTCCAATCTTGACCAATTAATATTCAGACGAATGCTCATGCCAGACTACCAAACACACCTATGTGTAACATTCCAATGTTTAGAAATTCACATTAATGGCTGAAAGAAATCTAAATCGCTCATAAGGATGCAACCGCAGAGAAATCATGTGCAAATCATCTGTGTCTTTGCTATTTAAAGAGCCTTAGACCAGAAAGTCCCCAGATCTAGTTACAACTTGCAACAGAAAATGTCACCAGAAAATCCAGATATCACTTTGGGCATTGGTTTCCACTAAAATCAACAATAATTGTAACTTCAGGCAGCAATATGATTGAGATATCAGAAAGGAAAATGTGAGTGGGTGGAGTTTCTAGTTTAGAAATCATAATCCCACTGATAAGAGAGCATCTCCAATCAACTTCACTAGAGTCTAGACACAGCCACGACAACCCTACCTAGCAAACCTCTAAGAGGGCCACATTTTCTCAATGCATACATAATCAAAAGAGTGTCATATGTTCTTCCCAGAACCAACTTCATCAACTGTTATTTTTAGCCAAGAACCAGAAACTGAGACATGTAGTTACCACATGATCCAGAAGCTCTACATGTCACTTTTTCCTTCTATCCACTCATGAATATATCCTACAGCCAGTAAGTATGATGTGACAAGAAGGGTCTTTTTGAGGACCAAGGCAGTTACTTCACTGTGGACCTTCTCCGAGGGACAGGGAAGCCAGCATAATGGGATCGGCCCATACATTGTCCTTTAAACTGGGTAAGTGTATCTGCTATGAGTAGTCCCAAAGGCAGCAGGCACAAGCTGAAGAACAGCCATTGGTTTTATGGCGCCATATGTGCTCTGCCTCTAAATGTCTCCTTTATTTGATCTTTACCAGTGTTTTCATTGGTGTTCCTTTATTCTTTTATTTTCTATGTCCCTCTCTCTTCTCTGCCATGCTTCTTTCCAACTCTAAAAATAAAGAAGGTCCAATTTCAGGTATGACTCCACAGATCCCATCCACATAGGTTAGAGATGGCAAGATGGGATGGATGACTTTCTCAGTGACCTTTTTGTGGTCATCTATGTCTAGGGATAATTTCTTCTTTAAGAGACTGACCAGTGCTAACTTTTGCTTTGGCTAGAAATAAGGACAACACCCTCTTGTTCACACTAGGCCCTGCAAATCTCCATTGGGTTTTTGTGACTTATGTTAACTTGGCTCATGCAAGCATTGCCCAATCTTGTGTCTGAAAACTTAAAAGAGGAAGCAGAGACAGCAGTGATGAAGCTATGAAATGAAGTGAAATGGATAGCCTGGGATCTGCAGGGCTCTCATGGGAGCCTGGAAAGAATCCAGAGGACATCAGGATATGCTGGCAGTGATGGTGTGAGGGCTGGAGCCGAGGTACAGTCTGCAGGTTTCCTTCCATGAGGCAGGAGGCTCCTAACTTAACCCTGACCAACAATGTCATTTGGATAATCTTACCAGTATCTCCCTTCTTTGGGCCTCTTTTCTCATTTTTCCTGCTCTAGACCCCCTTACTTAAACTTCTGTTTCCAAACATTTACTCCTTTGTTTCATCTTTACCAGTGTTTTCACTGGTGTTCCCTAATTTTTTTTATTTTCTACCTTCCACTCTCTTCTCTGCCATGCTTTTTTCCAGCTCTAAAAATAAAGAAGGAAAGAAAATTTTAAACGTTATGAAAAGAAACAAGCACTATTTTACCCTCTCCCTTTTGTGTGCTGGTGAAGTAGCTTCACCTGCAGGGATGTGCAATCTTTTCTCATTTCCTTACCAGACCTTGCTTTAAACCAGGCCAGAGAAGAGGGAAAGTTGAAGGAGGAGGAAACGACAAGGCATCCTACAGATGGAAAAATCAGGAGGGATCCGACCCTTCAGAAGCTGTTACCCCACGCTGGACATACGACTTTTGGACCATTTTAGAATGCAAGTGTCCTAACATTAGAGATGGTATGTTTCTACATGTGCAATATGCTACTTATCAATGCCACTGTTGAGAATTACTGTGATGGGAAGAAATTGATAATTTGAGTGTTAAGGCTTTTTATCCTTTTGTATCTCAATCCAACTATGAATGAGAAAGGCCAGAAATATCCATTAGGTACAGAAAAAAAATCCAGGCCTAAGTTCATGAATGAGAAGTTAAAGCCAGGCACATGAGGTGTTGCCTGTTCTTTGGAAAGATGGAGAAGAATGCAGGAATACTGCCGCCTTGCTTGGTAGAACCCACAGGTCTCTGCACATGCCACTCATGTTGGCATACTCAGAGGTCCCATCTCCACGTAGCGCTCCTTCTCTGTACGGGTTGAACCTCTGAGTTCAGTAAGGTGTCCCATCAGTGAGTTTGGGCCAGTGGTCCTGGAGACATCTCCTCTCTCAGTGCCACGCCCTTAGTCAACTCCTGGGGTTCATCACTCAGATCCTAACACAAATGGAACCAGGGGTATTTGCTGCTTTAGGTCCCTGGATTACCTATGTTCTTGAATCCTCCCTTTCAAGGCATGCCTCTCACTTTATCATTACTGACTTTATGTGAAATATTGGATTGTTTGGCTCTTTTTTTGGTGATTGCTCCAGGACAGGGGTCATGTCTCTTTTCACTAGCCTTGGAATCTCCATAGCTCAATTCAGACATTCTATAAATATTTGTAAATTGAATAGCTAAATGGATATAAATTCATTATCACCAAGGAAAAGACCATGCTAAGTGGTTTCTATCGCGGGGGTTGTAAGTAAAGCTATGGCTATACATTAATAAAAATCATCAGTAAGGTTTGAATCTGAGAAAATTGTGATGGTAACATAGTGGGAAATGATAGCTCATGCATATCCTAAAAATACAACACATGTGAACTATTTCTTATACTGAAAAGATGTAGTGCTAATTAAGCTTCTCAGATTAACAATTCTGTATAAACTGGTAATACTTGGGCTGCCGTGCGTGATGACAACAGCCAGCAATGCGGCTGTCCCTGCAAGCTCATCTGATCAATTCCAAAAATGCCATCAACATGAACCTATAAAAAATGTAGACACTGATGATGTTGCACATAATGACAGAACAGATCTGGCCAGCTGACAGATGATCTAATGTAAAAAAAAAAAAAAGTAATAAAATAAAACGGTTTATGTTCTAAGGCTATATATTTAAAGAGTAAATGGTTATTGATTTAAGTTGAAATATGGGAAGAATAACAAAAACAACAAAACAAAACTAGTTGGTCTGTCAACTTGGTAGTTTTATATTTAAATATCTTTCGAAAAAGTCATATTCTAGTATTAATTAAAAGTACTACTAAAGTTATAGAAAATCAGTAACTTATGTTTAACATCTTGACAAATTTCCTTATAACAAGTTTCATGACCATAAATTTACTTGCTTAGGTCAGATTACCTGAGAAATAAAAAGTTGAAAATAATAGCACTCCTTATACATGTGCAGTGCTAGTCACCTAATACTTTTTGGTATTAACTTACTAATCATTCTGAGTTTGAGGGGGTGGCATTATGCATATTTGAAAGTCTTCACCACCCTTATATTTTTCAAAGAATTTTATTTACATTATTTATCAATAACCATTCTTCCCATTTGTTACACAAAGATGACCTCTCACATTAACAAAATCATTTGGTTAATCTGGTGCGGTCGCAGAGTCCCTGCTTAGGTATATCCCTCAAGTTTGAGATTTGGGGTTAAGGAAACAATGGCAGGGAGAACCAGTCTCCTTTTTTGTTTCACAGTCATCTCAGGTGGGAGGCATATTGACGGCATAAACAGGTGGGTGATAAAGAGAATACATTCAGGAAGCAGGCTGCCAGCTGTTCCTGATGGGATACCGGTTTGGCACACTCCCACATGGGGCTCACCCTGACCTGCGAGTCCCACAGAATGACAACACCCAGGGCTGCGTCCTTCCCCACCAAGTACACAAGCATGGCGTGGCTTACCGGTACACTGTGGGCAGCAGGAATCCTGGGTGCGTGAGGGGTTCTGGCAGAGCAGTGGTGGGCACACCTCTGTCTCACATAGCACTCGTCCGCTGTGGCAGGTGCACTGAGTACAGGAGTCAATGTTCCACGTTTCTCCTTCCACAAAGTACTCTCCCCCAGGGGCGTGGCAAACGGAGGGAGTGCTGAGCTCTGGCTTCTGCACCACAAAGTCATCTGGGGAATGACAAAGAATCAGAACATAAGACATTATTCATCTGCAATCTTCCCAACTCCTGAAAGCCTGGTGCTGTTTGCTTCAAGGGACAGAAAAGATGAACTGGATGAAGAACATCTTGCTCTATTCTTATCAAGAGAATAGTGAAGAAAATATATTCCATGCATGGAAACGGCATACAATGGCAAAAGAGCTAAAATCAGGACATGAGGTTCCAAGTGGTTTGAGTCTGTCAGTGGTAATAAGAGAATTCAATAAGATCATTATATTACAGGGAGGGGACTCCCACTCTAGAGACAAGAGCAGGGGCCTCTTCTGACATTTCTATGAATGTGCAGGAACCGTTTCAAATTCAGATCTCTCATTTACTGAGTACTTGCTAAGGTTCAGTTGTTTCCATGCTAAGCACTCTACATGTGTTATTTCATTTATTCCTTATAATCACCTTATTTTATGCATGAGGAAACTGAGGGCTCAGGGAGAGACAAGGAAAACTGCAACCCAAGTCTATGGTTGTTTGAATCACGGATGTGTTTCCAGATTAAATAAAACTTCCAAATGATCGCTGCCCTATGTGCTTCATTATTTCTGGGATCCTGAGTACTTTTATGCTTGGAAGTATGTCCTGCTGTCAAGGAGGCCACACCCAATCTAAATCAGCTGCCAGCAAACTGAGCAGGAATGCTCCTGTAGAATCAACAGTCTGAAAACCCTCACCTGAGACTAAACTTGTGTTTGGCAATATCATCATCAAGAAAGGTAAATGCTGAGAGCAGAGGTAGTTTTGGTCTCTTGGAGAGATGGCACTGATAGAGAGGGAGTTTAATGTTGAAAAAATCTGAAGAGGTACTGGGAGTTACCCTGAAGTTTTGCTGGGGAAATAAGAAGAATGAAGACATTAACCATATTCATGTAATCCAAATACAACAAGTTCTTCAAGAAGGTGTTGACAGTGTTGAATCCCGCTGAGAAATAGTCTGGAGACATCACGACTAGCTCATGCTTGGAGCTCGGTGGAAGTCACGCCCCAGAATGGGCCCATATACACAGGGATGCTCAGAGCAGAAATCTCTTTAAGAGTGAATTGGGGCTATGACTTTCAAAGTGGTGGTCAGCATCAGAGTCAACAAGACTAATGAGTAAAGTGATGTGGGCTGATTTCCAGTGAAGGGGGCAACAACTTCTAATGCAGCTTTACCTCAAGGGAATTAGTAAAAAGTTTGGAACTTAGGCCAGAGGACGTATCACAGAAAATGGATATTCATCAATCAATGCTTACATCCGCAAGCAACTGTAACAAACTTGCCAGTATAAAAACAGCAGAGAGGAAGATGATTAGGATGAAAATTGTGCTGGAACAAGACGGTAAACATGCATTTCTTGTGGTTTACAGAGAAAGTTCCAAAGTGTATCAACAAATAGATGTAGGAAAAGCCTCCCTTATTGCTTTCAAAAAGGGCTTAGAGAGGACGGACAATTACTGCCTTGTTAAACGCTCATGTATGGAAGTAGTCAGAAGAAATATGATGTGCCTGTCTGTAGGTATCCTTTCCTGCTCACCTTTCTGCTGCATAACGTGCCTCAAGGCAAAACACAAGAGGGGCCAGAGACATGGAGACAAAAGAAAAACTCAAAAGTAGAGAGTAAGGAAGACAGGAAATCTGAGAGACAATATCATTTGGTAAATATTCATTAGAAGAGTTCAGGAACTGCTCACTTATGCCAAGAAGAAAAACAGCTGATCTTGGAATGGAAGAGGGGAGAAAAATAGTAGGAGTCTGTGAATGTAACAGCTCTGGAGTCTCTACTCAGAAGGAGCCTTAGTGGCAACATGTTAAAGACTTTTGGAAAAAATTTACCTCTATACATACATTTACATAAATGCGTTTTCATACACATATATCCAGATACTGACACACCCACAATTAGTTATCAACAACTCCACATGTGCTTACATAAGAACTTTCCATGACTGTAATAGAGAAAAATCTTTCTGGTTCTACTGATTTTCAGTTCTTAGTTCAATTATCTATCCTTAGTAAGATCTTTGCATTTCTACCAGTCTAGCTGTTCGAATTCTTCATTGAGGGTATGTTTAGCAAAGATCCAGGTACAAATCCCTCCTCTAGGCATTCACATCTATGATTAAAGCACGGGTCTTCATGCGAACACATGATTTTTTCCTCCCCAAAGAGTCAACATGGAGTCTATCATATTAAACTCCTCATTCATCCTCTTATGCAGGGGACTCTAGCAGTTTTCCACATTTAACTAGCAAAATATGGGAAAAAGGATATAGTTCTGATATGAAGCACCTCTAACTGAACTATGGGTAAACAAAAGAAAATAAAACAAGTCATCTCTTCTGCATTTGTAATCTGGTTCTCTACAAGGGTATGGGAGCTGCCTGTCACACTGATCCTGTAGCTGTTCAGCTGTGCAAAATCTCAGAGCTAAAAGAGACTTTAAGTGTCTCTCTCCCTCTCCCTGCCACCATGGCAAAAAAGGTCAACTTCCCTTTGAGGCTAGTCTTGCTGCAAAAGGACCAGGCCTCAGGCTCTTGGCCACACCTTTTGCACAGGTGGACTCATGCACAGAAAGAGACATGGAGTTGTAACTGACCAGAGGAAAAGACAATCATGACTCCAAAATCTGACCGTAGACTTAACTTTAAAAGAAATTTGATACGAGATTTGAGAGACTTCATTTCTCCCAGGTCTTTGGGCAGGCATACTATTTCACTCTGGGTAAGAGAGTCAATCTTTCTGTGTGTGTTTTCCAAATGAGAAACTGTCTCATTGTGTTTTTCCCTAACTCAAAGTGGCCTGCAAAGAGAGGGAAATAATAGATATAAAACTATGTTGAACTCTTTGGATAAAAGGTACTACATGAGGTTTATGGTTATAATTACTGTTATTTGACAATCATAATTCATACCCCCTTGAATTACAAATCCATTCTGTCTTTCTAGTAACTTATCTTGATTACCATGATTATGATTTCAAATGTTTTGGATGTGTGGTCACTCTAAATCTCCATTTGGCAAGAGTGCTACATGTCTATTAATTTAAAAAAGAGCAATAGCCACAGACTTCAGTAATTTTCTCCCTCTCAAATATTACTTTATATGTGATAAAGTTTTATGAGATAAAACTAGCACCAATCCCCTCAAATGAATGAGGACATTCAGACCTAATATGCTATCAATAAAATGGAGAGCTGGAATGTAAGTACATCAGCCCACAAACCTTTAGAAAAACATAGTCCAAAGACCTTACATACTGAGTCAATCATTCAAAAAGGAGGAGACTTATTTATAGAATGTTAGAATTTTCTCTGGTCTTTGATTCTTCACTGATAGTGCCCAGATCATTCTGCAGTGGTTGTTGAAAAAAACCATACAGCGCTGAAAAGTGCTCCGGGGGTCATCCCCTGCAACCTCCCCAGAGTTACAGATGTCTCTAGGGCCCTGCAAGGCAGAAGTCATTTGCTTATGGAGCACACAGATGGCAGCCAGCTTTTACCTGCACATGATGGGCAGCACTGTCCGGGATGAATGGTGGGGTTGCCGCAGGAAGGCACCGGGCAGGTGATCAGGGCACACATTTCCCGTCCATTCAGACAGTAGCATTCCCGGCACCCATCGTGCCAGCTCTCCTCATTTTTATGATGATGACCATCCACGGTCAGACAAGTGCCCGACAGGACAGGTGGCCCGACTGAAGCAGAGACCTCTGGACAGAGAGAAGGCGGCCTGGTAAGAAGTGACTATTGCACAGAAGAAATAGTCTGCAGAGTCCGTACATGGCCTGGAGCCTAGCCACCAACAGTTAACGTCTACACAGGACAGTTTGTGACACGGGACATGTTGATGAAAAGAATTTAAGTCAATATGCTCTCAATTTTGAACAAAAGAGAGAAAAAAACCTGCAAATACTTTCTCTCCAATTGGTGGGATGACGGCTGATCTTTTATTTCTTCTACTCTACTTTCCCATAGTTTATATAATGAACAAGCACTGATTTTATAACAAATGCTATACACATGTTGAATTTATTCAGAATCGCTCTAGAAGTGTCATCCAATGGGGACATCCTGGGCATCTTGCAAAAAACAGTTTTGTTCAGCAGAACAATTAAAGCAGTGACTAGATTTTTGTTTACTCCAGCCCCCTTAAAAACACCATTAAGGTGATAACTGTCCAGCTTTGAAACATCATAAAACAAAGTTTAGGAATCTGTTGTTTAATTTCTGGATTGTGCCGACAAGTACAACATACAGGGACAGGCAGCAGGGCTGCAGCTGGGTTAAGGGCAGAAACGGTCAGGGTGTATGCTCAGTGGCTTCAGCAATCTCCCTGGCGCGGAAGCCTCAGGCAGCAGGGATACCTGGGCCCTGTGCTTATATACAGCTGTGGGCTGGCAAGTGCTTACTCAGCCAAAGGCTAACTTCTCATGGAAAACTGGAAATACAGGAGCAAACTTCTGAGCTATACCCACCCTCTAGAGCTTTGAAATGGGGATATTTACCGTTGCAATTTTATGACTCTTACTCCTGAACAGAGGGAGGCTCTACAGAGGTTGAAATAACTGTGCTTTAAGCGAAAGTTCCTGATACAAGTAAAAAGAGCTAGGAAGTGATTAATTGAGTCAATGTGCTTGTCCATCATATGCTTACTTCACGTTCTATTCCGAGCTTTTACTTCATAAAAATGAAAGGAAAGGGAGTCCTGTGGGACGGTCCCACAGAGACTGACATTTGTGTGAGAATAGGCGGCAATCACTGAAACCATTTCATTTATAGGATGTCCTTCTGTCCCTAGTTTCGGTGCCCTGGCTGCTCTGAGGGGGAAGGACCATGTGTATACACTTACCTCTGCACTTGCAGATAAGACAGCCGTGACCGTCCTGTTGGAAACCCAAGGGGCAGATCTTACTGCATGAGAGCTCTGGACATTTTCTACAGCGACAGATGTCACAGCCGTGCTTATTCTTCCTGGGTAATTAAAATTTGTCAGGGGTCAGAAAATTAAAAAGTCTCAAATGATGCCCAAGCACTCAGACCAAGGGTCAATAAAGTGATATCGCCATAAAACATAGTAACTTGACTTTTGCTCTCAAAGACTCCTGGAGTGGTGGGTAATTAGCTCCCTGTGGCCATGACCACCACTCACTCATGACCAAGGTTGAGAGTTGCCCAAGCCCTTACGTGCTTCAAGGATGTAGTGCTCAGAATCCCAATGACATGACTGTTGATTTAATTAGGGAGAGTGGAACACCACAGTAAAAAAAAAAGAATGTGTTAACTCCATGAATAGGAAAGCGAAGACTTTGTTGGTTTATCTCTTTATTCCTGTGTTTCTCCATCCATTTATTCATTCACTCACCCATCCATGTATCCATCCATCCATCCTGTCACCCATCTGTTCTTCCCTCCCTCCCTCACGAAGTATCTGCTGCATGCATAAAGTAGTTCTTTACTCAGCAGGTACATACAAGGGGCACCAACTGCTGCCTTCAACCTGACGCTCCCATGTGGTGTCTGGCCAAGATTTCTCTTTTGGTGTGTGTCCCTAAAACATGTGTTCTAGCCAGTGTAATATTCAGTTGTCCAAGATGGCCAACTGGGTCCTCTCTGAATGTGCTTACTGACAAGAATACAAAGTGAAATCTACAATCTTCCAAGAGATTTTTCTCCAAGACGAGAGTAGAATTTGAACACAGCTTTGATTCTGAACCGTCATGATACTGTAGCAGGTGGTTGTAGCTACTACTGTGATAATGCTACTTCATTTTACATTAGTCGTTAGGTTAAGAAATAACATATCATATTCGTATTTCAGGATTAAGAATGATGGTGATTCATCATTTTATTTGGGGAATTTTAGGAACAATGTTTCTAATTTAATTATCCAATGAAAATTAGAAATAAAGCCTCTGCCAAAACTAGAATTTTTAAAGAAAGAAAGAAAAAAAAGATGACTGACAGGAGATGGGAAAGAGATGATGGATCTAAGTCCCTCGTAATTAATAGGACTAGGCTAGGCACAGTGGCTCATGCCTGTAATCCCAGCACTTTGGAGGGCCAAGGCAGGCTGATCACTTGAGCCAGGAGTTCCAGATAAGCCTGGGCAACATGGTGAAACTCCGTCTCTACAAAAAAACAAAAACAAAAATTAGCTGGATATGGTGGCGCATGCCTCTGGTCCCAGCTACTCCAGGGTGCTGAAGTGGGAGGACTGTCAGCATGGGAGGTTGAGGCTGCAGTGAGCCACGTTTGTGCCACTGCACCACAGCCTGGGTGACAGAGCAATACCCTGCCTCAAAAAAAAAAAAAAAAAAAAAAAGAAAGAAAGAAAGAAAAAAAGAAGGAAAGAAAAAGTATTTCTAGCACTACATACATATATCAAACTGGAAAGACAGATTGAAAGAGAACAAAGAAAAAATGATAAGGCAATTTTTCTAAAGGCATACACTTGACATAAACGTAGACATAAGAGCTTATACAGACACTAAAGAAACAAATGTGAAGTGTCTATTGCCTGGAATAATCTAGATTTTCATGGGGTTTGACTCAATAAAGTACATTAAAAAATACAAGTCATGGCCCCTTATCTCCAAGGAAATTCATAAAATCTAATGCTAGATAGAAAAAGAAAATAAAATGCTGACTAGTTCCAAGGTGAGACACCTAGGTATGGCAGGTAAGGATGCACTTATTTCAAGTGAGTGGGGGTCTTCAATTCATCTTAAAGTATGTGTTAAGTAAGTGATCACAAATGGACCCCTGGGACAATTGTGAAGAGCTGTAGCACTTCCAACACTGGGACCTCACAATTCCATCTCCTCATCTTCCCAGCAGTGTCTAAAGGACTCTGCTATGTGAAAGTCTCACATAACAGGCACAAAGGGTGTGTCTGGTCCATCTCCGTAAAAATAAGAGTAAAACCTGATTCTCTTCTTTGGAGATACAACCTTTTCCTTGCTTTCTGAATCATCTAACAAAACAAATATAGATATTCTGGGCTCAATACATCATAGAATAATTCACGAACAACATATAAAACAAAATAAGTAGGAACATTTCACCAAGGGGTACTTCATAACAGCTTTTCTGAATTTAGAAATACGTACAGCAATCCCAGTGGACAATACTTGTCACAGATTATGGGTCTGCACTTCTTGGGCCTTGGGCGGCACTCACAGGTCTCACAGTTTTGGGCATCAGTTAGGAAACCGAAGGGACAGTCCAAGGTGCAGCCTTGTTTACGTTCTGAGCACAGTTCCTCGCCTGTGAAGACATACAGATGGCATGTTTTTCTAAAGACAAATAGGGCAGAACACATCGATGCTAAAATACTGTCCCCGAATCCTCCACACGTCCATAGATTTAAATTTCTCAGCTCTACCATAGCACTGGTTATCACTAAAAAGAACAGACTGTGCTATTTCATGGTTATCACATCACTCTATGTTTTAGTAATAATCAAAATAAAAGTCCAACTTTGAAATACATAGATTTCTAAAGTGTACTCAAATCTGTTAGGCTTTGAGTGAAGAGCAGGCTGATAATTATTATGACAGAGCATTTTCCCATGAACTTTATAAATTACTTCAAACCACTGATGATGATTTATGTTATGCGAGAATTAGAAATTTACCGTTCCATTTTCATTGTGTTTTATTTCTACTACATATCCATAATAATGCATGTTCTTTTCTCTTTTTTTTTCTTTTGAGACAGATCTCTCGCTCTGTCACTCACACTGGAGTACGGTGGCATGATTTCAGCTCACTGCAACTTCTGTCTCCTGGGTTCAAGCGATTCTCCTGCCTCAACCTCCAGAGTTTCTGGGACTACAGGCATGCGCCACCACACCCAGCTAATTTTTCAATTTTTAGTAGAGATGGGGTTCACCATCTCTACTAAATGTTGCCACGCTCATCTCAAACTCCTCACTTCAAGTGATCTGCCGGTCTCAGCCTCCCAAAGTGCTGGGATTACAGGCGTGAGTCACTGCCCCCATTCCATAATACATGTTTTTAAATGTCTACATAATAATTACTTTTATGTGTGTTAGATGCTATCATATAATACTGCACATTGTATGCAGCATAAGGGATTTCTTACTATTCCTTTAAAAGAAGTACATCTCTTATAACATGATAGTGATTAAAATAATCAGTGGTACATTTAGGTATTTTTTTTCTCTATGTGCTGACAAGTACCCAGGTATTTGGATATATTTACATAATTGGCTTTTTAGTTAACTGGCTAAAATATGTGTGTGCTGAAAAAATACTCATATTAATGTTTAAGTAACCACTATTTGAAGTGTTCAAAGTATCCCTTGTTCAGAATCTGGCGTGATGTTTAACTGTCTTCCATTAGTCAGTTACAACACTATTTTGGAAGAACAAAAAAGGAAAGTAGCAATGATGACTATCAACATTATTAGCTTAATAGAAGTCTTCTAAAATGATGTTAAAAGGCTACATAAGGCTTACCAGAGAAAAAGGAAAATGTTTAAGGTTAAAAAAAAAAAAGCATGTTTAGTGATATAAATTAAGCAAGTTGAGACCTGTGTGAATTAAATGTAGAATTTGAAAGACCATCAAATTTAAAGAAAGGAAGTTAGTATGGTGATGGCAAAAGTACAGCAATGTTTGAATGTTGTTCTACATGGATTGGTGAAATGGGAAGCAGAGTCTATTATTAGAATGATGACCAAATTTTATATTTTATCTGAATATCCTTTAAACATGAATACTGTAACAGTGCAGAAGTCACTAGGAAAACAGAATGAATCTCTCCCCTTAACACATAAATCTTATGAACTAAAATTTAATCTTAACTACAGTGAATAGGTGAAATGGGTCCATGTTTTACATAAATATTTCAAGATAGCATCTTTTGTGACTCTTAGTTGGCAATATTTGCATATTTAATTTGCTATCTTTTAAAAAGGAAAATGTGATTTATGGTATAATTTTCTACTCTGTCATTATCATAAACCTTTTATTACACATATAAATATAACCTCATGGGCTTGTATTACACTGTAAAGCAACTGATTACTAATTTGCATCCTTAAAAGAGAAATTCTAAATGGTTCATTTAGAAATTTCTAATTATATGACTTGAAAGGTCATAATTTTTCATTCCCCATTATTAAGGGAATCATGAAGGAAGACTTTATTAGCCAAGTTTCTTTCTCTAAACACAGAGATCTAAATTGTGAACCCATTTTTCTGTCATAAGGATTTTTAGGTCATGACAACAAATGGATCATGTTGGGAAGCAGATGAATTAAAAACATCCTGAAAACTTCCCAGAGTCAACATCTCTTGGGATTAAATTCCTTGAAACTTTGGAGTCTGAGTAGCTTGATGCCTTTATTTTCTGGTCCTGCAATGAAGAAGCAGTTTTTCCATAGACCTTGATCTAGAATGTGCTTCATCTTTAAAGAAAACTGTTGTGTCTCCATTCAAGTTTAAACAATGTGATAAAAACTAGTCTGTAATCTACCACTGCTTTGCAATGGAAGGGAATTTCAAACAAAGGTTGGTACATTTAAACAAAAATATAGGACATTCATTAGGAGACTAGCTCTGCCTCCTAGCAGTGGGAAGCTCTAGTGCTGCGCTGAATTGGGACCACTTTCCTGCATGCTCTGCTCTGACCCATCTACATTCAGCTTCCCAAAAGAGGGAGCTCTAGGGCCGGGCCCTGGATTCCTCAGGCACACTGTATAGGGACTACCATGGTATTTAGTACCGAGCGGGTATTAAATAAATATTTGCTAAATAAATACATCAATCAATGTTCTCGTTACCTCCTACTCCACTGTCATCAAGACTGCCACATTATCAGAGAAATGACAGCATGAAAATAATTACTCTGAGAGTATTGAAATTTTCCCAAAATACTGGCAGTTGCCAAAACATCTCAAAATACCATCTTCTAATTCAGAAATAGACAACATTAAAGACTGGAAGGTAGACCTAAATCAACATATGTCAATTATGAAATTTTCTTAAGACAAATGTATCATCATGGCTAACTTTTAAATAAAGAGCAGATCGATTGCAGCTGGCTCGAACTTGTAATCCCAGCACTTTGGGAAGCCGAGGTGGGAGAACGGCTTGAGGCCAGGAGTTTCAGACTAGCCTGTGCAACAAAGTGAGACCCTGCGTCTGCCAAAAAATAAAACAGCTGGGTGTGGTGGACAGCGCCTGTAATCCCAGCTACTGATTACTAATTTGCATCCTTAGAAGAGAAATTCTAAATGGTTCTTTTAGAACCATTTATATAAACAAGAATTAAGGGAGGCTGAGGCAAGAGGATTACTTGAGCCCAGGAGGTCCAGGCTGCAGTGAAAGCTATGATTGTGTCACTGCCTGGGAGACAGAGCAAGAACCTGTGTCTGAAAAATAAACATAAAAACATAAAGAACAGAACAGAGATTAGAAATACAGTATTTATAGAAGAGAAGGGGTTTATATGTTTGTTTGTAAGGCTTTGGTACATCACTTGAGGCAACCATGGAGGAAAAGGTGGCTTTATGTTCACAATTTTTCAGCATTATGACTTTACTGTGATCTAAAAATGCTTTCTAATCCATGGGGGGAAGTTACTATTGAAGAGAAAGTGATGAATAATGGCAAAGCACAGGGCCAGTACAGCATGGCCGATCAATAGCAACTATGCAGTAAACACTCTGTTCATTCTGGAAAAAAAGAAACGTTTGCTCCTATGCGCGCCTATGCTCAAAATGTGACACAATTATGGGGGGGGGCATTCATTCTTTATTATCTATAAATACAATGTAACTCCCATGTAGAACACACTGTGGGTGATGTCCCTTAGAGAAGCACGCATACTTCTTTGCTGTAGTACAGCAGGTCCTCAAATAGCAATGGTTTTGTTCAGCGTCACTGTGTCATAACTTTAACGAGGGGAATAAAAATCAATTCTCGGCTGGGGCCACTCTCTGTGTGGAGACTGGATGCTCTCTCCATGCTGTGTGGGTTTTCTCTGGCTACTCTCACATCCCAAAGACGTGCACAGTAGGTGAACTGGGGTGTCTACATGGTCCTAATCCAAGTGTGGGGGGTGTGTGTGTGTGTGTATGTGTGTATGTGTGTGTGTGCAAGTGTTGGGTGTGTGTGTGCAAGTGTTGGGTGTGTGTGTGTGTGCAAGTGTTGGGGGTGTGTGTGTGTGTGCGCGCGCACGTGCGCACCACCCTCAACCCTGGACTGGAATAAGTGAGTTGGAAAATAAATACAAATTCTTATGAAATAAAAATTTGTAAAGCAGGTCTCCTCTTCTATGTATTTCTTCCTAAGTATGAATGAAATGGAGGTGCCCTCAGGCAGCACACACTGATGTTCCTTTTGAAACGCCAAACAAAATACTAACCTAAAGACAGTGTAAGTATGCATCTTCCTCATAGTCTCAACTTGCCAAATGGCAGTGACATATTGTGACCTCCTTCAAAGGCAATTGAGGAAAATTGCTTCTTTGAACTTAATGATAAAATATTTTGTGTGAAGTGACCAAAGTCGTAGATAAGCATGAGCAGGTGGCCAAGATTTCGTGACAGCAAAACCCAGGTGCACGTGGTAGGTGCACGTGGTAGGTGACGTGACTGGACACAATGAGATCTGTATTTTTAGTTTAAAAACTCAGAAAAAAATGGATTAATATATATGATCCCATGTTAAGAAAGCCATAGCTTTCTTAATGTAAGAGGCATTAGAAGGATTAAAATATAAACACTTCATGACTATTACCAATTATCTTTGTGTTAAAAAAACAAGGTTGGCCATATGAGAAAACATAGGCTGCCAAGGCAACTCCAGCAAACGTGGCTTTCTAAAGGGAGGTATAAAAGGCATGTGTGCAACAGGGACTGACCCTTCCCCCAACAGAATCAAGTGTAGGAAGGCAGGACACCCCCAAATGGGTAGAGGCTAATAGAAAATTTAAAGATGGCAATAACTACAAGCTCAACAAGAGGTTTTTTGTTTGCTTGTTTTTTGAAACAGAGTCTTGCTCTGTCACCCAGGCTGGAGTGCAGTGGCACAATCACAGCTAACTGCAGCCTCAACTTCCTGAGCTCAAGAGATCTCCCCATTTTAGACTCCTGAGTAGCTGGAACTACAGGCCCTCACTATCATGCCTGGCTAATTTTTGTATTTTTTGTAGAGATGGGGTTTTGCCACGTTGCCCAAAGCTGGTTTCAAACTCCTGAAGTCAAGCAATCCATCCACCTTAGCCTCCCAAGTGCTGGGATTACAGGCGTGAGCCACCACGCGTGGCCAACAAGAGTTTTATAAACTCAGTTTTGGCACTAACTACACAGTGCAGATAGTGTGATGGTCACATGTAGCTGAGAAAACAGATCGACTTAACTCCCATTTTGTATTTTCTTCTTCAAAAATATTTTTACAAAAGTGACAAATGGTTAAGGTTAAGTGGAATGTTAAAGCCTGAGATAATTGATAAATCAGAACATGAACATCTGTCTACATTAAGTCCAAGCCTCTGAGCCATGGTAATTATACTCACAGGCCCATGGAAAAAGGGCTTATTACAGAACCACTATTACATTTGAGAGAGACTGAAGAGAATACAAAGAGATTTAAGAAAATAGGTTGCATGTCAATTCAAAAGGGACAAAGCGTTCTAAAAACTATACAACTTGATATTCACAACTGAAAATTCTTCAGAAATAATTGTTAAATATATGATCTGTGACATTTACACAAATAAACCACTGAGTACCAGGAGCCAGCACAGATTCTGGGAAAAACAAGCCAGGCCCCTATAACTTCAGTTCATTTTAAAAACAGGGTTTCCAGCAAAGGAATGCTCTGATGTATTTTGTAACGTATTTTGATTTCAGACAAGATACGGGACAAGTGTTTTTCAAGATTTCTTGTGGAGATATGTGCTGTCAGCTAAATAACTCTACTCAAGGAGCGATTGGCTATGTTCAACATCATTCTGCAGGTCTTTGTCCTTGGTTCTGTGCAGTTTATTTTAATTCAGGGATTTAGATGAGGACATGTAAGTTGTGCTTACTTAATATAAGCTGGGTGGCATAAAGTATAAGATCACATTATCGAGATTCAAAAATAGCCCAACTAGTTAGAAATCGTTTAAAATGATCAGGATAATCTCTTGTTATATTTGGCTGGGTATTTATATCATTAAAAAAAAAATTAAAGTTCTATTACAGAACAGATAAGAACCACGTAACAGCAGGTGATGTAAAAAAAGTTCCTAGTGTTTTTAGGTACTTATAACCTCAATATCAGCCAAAGACATGCAATTCAAGGAGCTAATGCAAACTTAGGCCACATAGTAGTGCTGCACTCTGCAGACCAAATTCTGGAGTACCTTTTTCTTTTTGAGACAGTGTCTTGTGCTGTTGCCCAGGCTGGAGTGCAGTAATGCAATCTCAGCTCACTGTGATCTTTGCCCCACCCGCCCACAGGCTCAAGTGATTCTCCCACCTCAGCCTCCTGAGTAGCTGGGATGACAGGCACACACCACCACACCCAGCTATTTTTTTGTATTTTTGGTAGAGATGGGGATCTCGCCATGTTGCCAGGCTGGTCTTGAACTCCTGAGCTCCAGTGATCCACCAGCCTTGGCCTCCCAAAGTGCTGAATTTACAGGTGTGAGCCACTGTGCCTGGCCATCTTGGAGTATATGGATTGCAGGCCACTTTTTATGTAAGGACAATGACATCTTGTGTGTCAAAGGATGGAAAAGATCCAGAAAGTTCTAGAAACTGTCACCTAAAGAATGGCCAAGGAGAATGAGAGTGTTTATTCTGGTAGAATTAGGGGAATTCAAAATATGTATGTGTATGTGTGTGTGTATTCTTTTATTTTTTTCTGGAAGAAATGCAATATACTCTATCTAGTTTTAGAGGCAGGGCCTGGACACGATTGGAATCTACATGGAGGCAGAGCTGGGGTCAACAAAGTGAAGCACAGTCAAAGGATTATGGCTGTCATATGCGGAATGTGACACTGTGTGTGCGGGTGACTTCTGTGTCACTGGATGACCTTGGCAAGCGTACTAAAGGGAGAGCCTTCTCAGTGGCTGGAAGGATGCACTCTGGGTTGCACTCCTGATGCAACTGCACATCAAGGGAACAGAGACAAAAGCCACAATAAAGAAGCCGTTCTTTTCTCCCAAACGACTACGTATTTGTGTTAAAAATAACTTTTTCCCCCTTTTTTCAGGTTGTCGAGAGAATGTCTGAACAGGAGTGAAAAAGATATTCAATCACATAATGTGCTTTGACAGTATCATATTAGGCCTCCTGTCTAATATACAGGAGAAAAAACATACGGTCTCCTGTCTACTCACTGTTTATGCACTGACAGGTCCGACAACCATTGTGATCACGCTGGAAACCATTAATGCAGTCCTTCCCTGTCAGAGTGCAGTTTGATAACTCCCCACACGCAGGTGGATCAATTGTGATGATGGTTGGTTCTAATAATAAAAAGATAAAAAATGATCAATGAAACATATGATTACCTCCTAGATGCTATTCAATTTTTGAAATCCCACACCATAATGTTACAAAAATCTAATCAACAATTGTCATCAAATCCCACACTTTTATGCTCTAGTAAAATCTTTAACCCCTGAAACAGATATATTTGTATTCAGATTTTTGAAAATGTGAACACTCTACTACTTTGTGTTTGAGCAATTCATGCAGTTTTTGGTGCCTCCACACAATTCTTTGCTGATGGTCACCGCTACTGGAAGCAGACGAGAGAGGTTAAAATGAACTCCATTTAAATTGTTAACTGCTCTTCCATTTCTTTCTGATGTTTTCTGAGTTTATTTTTTATAATAATCAGGACACAGCTGTCAACTATCAATTATCTCACTCTCATTCTGTAATACTTCTGAAATCTGTTACCATTTTTTTTTCCAATTAATAAATCAGTTTTTGGAGGTAGTTTAAAACACCTGGATTTCTTGTATCTTTTATGTGACACTCTCTCACTTATGATAGATGATATGACAGATAACCTACACACTTATCCTCAGGGCCCAGAGACTTGTGAGAGTGGCAGAGGGAGATACAAGCGTTCAGGAGAAAGAGTGAGCAGCCATGCTGGGATGGACACAAAACAAAGCAAGACCACAGGAGACGCTTTACCTTACCTGCCATATTGATAAAGATTTGCTTTGGGGAATAAAAGCAACTACATATACTTACATAAGGCATATTTTGTGTTTATATGAGGTTTAAAGTGCTGTTCACAAATGCCTTCCAGCTTCACCATATTCCAATGAGGTGGGTGCCATTATTATCCTCTCTCTACAGATGAGGAAATCTAGCACACTGACTTGCTCATGGTTACAGCATTAGTTTGTGGGGGACCCAAGACTGAAACCCAGGCAGTCTCAGCTTCTGTGTAACACAAAATCTGCGGTAACAGTACCTGTTTCTTAATGCATCAATAAGGGACAGTTTACATAATGCCAGGTTGTGAGGACAGTGTTGCCAAAGGGAACAGAGGCACTGACATATTTATGGAACATCTTCTCAACCAAAACACACTAACATCTTCAAAGTAAGCTGTTGCTCACAGTATCTTTGTGAAAGAGCTAAGTACAGAAAGTCTCTATCTACATTTTCACAGATGGAAAATATGAGGTGCAGAGAGGGTGACTGGCTTATCTAAGTTTACATAGCAACCCAGTAGCAGGCTGGGAATAGAACAGAACAGAGGTTCCTAATCTCCTGTCCAACACTCTATCCATTAGTCCACACTGTCTTCTCAAGTTTCATCTCCTGTTACCAGGAAAGAGATCAAAATAAGTGTTTTAGCTGCCACTACTAAGATCAAGAGTTCTAAATTTTTATCCATCTTCTAAAAGGGAACAGTGATTCAGTTCTGCACAGGTAGCAGGCAATGACTTATTAAAGAGATGCTTAGATCAGCATTTTCCCAGTAAAAAAATGTATGAAGTGAATATAGCACATTCTCTATTTTTATTACAACATACGGTTTGAACATCTTACTGAAATTTTTATATAAACTTTTCACTGCTATAGTTTCTAATTTCCTTCAATAACCAAGGTATTCTTTCTGACAGGTAACTTTAAACATCAAAAAGTAACTGAAATTTACTTTTAATATATCCTGAATTAGATACGGTACTGCTCCTCCCCTCCATTGCCTTAAAATTTACTACAAACATCTTTAGTTTTCAAACTTATTAGTCTTTCTTTTATCACTTTTACTAGCTATCCAAAACGATTCTATTCCAATCTTCAGCTCAAGACTGCCAATGTTTTGTCACAATTATGCTAACCACAAATGTAAGAGACAGCGTAAGACATGTATCAGGTTTAAGTAAACCTACCACAGGCTATCCCAGTGAGGAAGGACTTTTAAGTTCTAGAGTGATTAGGGCAAAGATGAGGGATGAATTCTGAACTCTGTGCGCACTGCTTTTACAGACAGCTTATAGGTAAAGAAATGTCTTAAGCACATCTACACATATCAAAATCTTCTGTTCTTTACTGACATTTAAGATGTGAAATTTATGAGAAAATTTTGCCTTCAGAAAATATACTATGGAAAACTATATGTTGAAAAATGCATAATCATAGAGTAGTACAGAATTTTAGCAGCAGTGGATTTTAGGGATTTGCTTAGAGAATCCACCGTCCAACCTTTAGAAAGATGACCTTCTACCACTAAATGACATTTGTTCTCAATAGTGATATATGTGCTGTGTGTGTGTGTGTGTGTGTGTGTGTGTGTGTGTGTTTGCATATATTATGATTAAAGGAACAAACAGACTGGGTCGTCTGAGGATCAGAACCACAACGCTGACTTGGGCAGCCCCGTATCAGTCACAGAAGCCAATCTATTCAAACGGCTTTAACAGTTAGGTAGACAGTCACAGACGTACATCTAAGGTACATTTCTTCGGGAGGGGAAATATATTCAATATGTTTTCCTAAAATATTCAGCATAACAGGTTTTGTTCACTTGAACAAATACAAATGCATAAAAGGGCTATTCAGTAAGTCCTGGTCCTACAATGTGCATGTTAAATATTTCAGGTAAAACAAGCCCTATACCTTCCAAGCCTCAATGCTATAGCATGCAAAAAGCAAAAAATCACTTTGTACCTCTAAAATTAACATTTTCCCACTCACTTATGACCTATATTAGATGAAAGAAACTGGGAAGGATAGTCATTTCAAATTTTTACACCCTCAGTATTTAACATTAAACACAGAAAAAATCCAACAAAATCTTTTACTCATGAAAACTTTCAATTTACTTTGGAACTATTCAATTTTCCCTCGATAGATTAGGCTGAACACAGCAATAGTCACTGCGATATGTTAAACATAGCTACAAGTCTAGGTTTTCTTAAAAAGACATTTAAACGCTTGGCATCTCATTTTATTACATTTAAAAAATACAACTAATTTTCCTACTCAGATACAAACTGGAACAAATTTTAAAGGTTTTTTTCTGGGTGGTAACGCATGTTTCTTGAGTCCTTAATGCTAATATCCTATGTCATTGGAGTAACCGCTGAGTTGTAATAAACACATTTGCAGGCGACTAGTTGTCTCCTGGCGTTTCAACTGAAGTCATACATTACATCTATGCCTTTCGTCATTCTCCCAACATTTGAGTGTTTGGTTTCCTATCATGTGAGGCCGTATCTAGAGAGTTAGATTTCTGTGAGAATAACATTACAACAAAAATATGACCTGTAAGTACACAGACTATCTACCTATTAATAAATTATCTAGAAAAAAATCTCGTATTATTGTTAAAGATGCCTGAGTTTGCTTCCAGTCCAATATATTAATATATATTCTCAGAACTGGTCCTATTACTAATGTCAGGGCAATTTTTTGAGAAATAAGTGCCATGAGACAACTGAGATTGAATTTCTTATGCTAAATAATTAACTCCAAAGTGAGAAGTATCTGACACCATCCTGAATTAAAGCATTTCAAATCAATATTATATTTACAGTTCTTAAAGAATAATGACCAAGAGCTAGTCAGGTTCTTAACGTAGCTTTTAGCCAAGAGCGTTCTTGGTAGGAGAAGAGGTGATTTTAAAGAATTTGGAATCATGATATCTCACTACGACTTTTCTCATCCAAAAAAATAAAAAAGCTTGTGGGAGTGTCGGCAAAATATGTGAAATGTACATTCTGCTTGTCTAAAAGCTAGAGCATCCTAAAATTTGTTCATCAGGAATTGTTGTTATCCCAAACTTTAGTCTATAAAACAGTGCTTTGAATATGGAAAATGTCTGTCAGGTCTTGGGTCTGCAGACTAGAAGATTCCCATTTAAATCCTACATTTCTGTGCTCCTATATTACATGGGGTATGGCACTGAAATTGTGTGTCAGAGACTACATGCCTTTCTAGAAGGATGATGGTGGTCCCCTATCTTTGGTGTGTTCGGTAAACAGAGTTCAGTTGAACAGAGGTCCTGCTAAGACTTCTGGAGGCACTGATGCATCCCTGCACATGCCTTTCTAGAAGGATGATGGTGGTCCCCTAACTTTAGTGTGTTTGGTAAACAGAGTTTGGTTGAACAGAGGTCCTGCTAAGATTTCTGGAGGCACTGATGCATCCCTGTACATGATACTTGTTGCTTGGAGCAAGGAAAACTGTGTCCCTTAAACTGGCTGTGGAAAGATGTGTCAGTAGGCCCTTTTCAGAGGAGAGAAATGGTTTTAGATTTCCTCACTTAGGAGAATGAGGAAATGCTTGCATAAAGGTGGGGTTTTGGAGAGGGGAAATTCAGTGAAGTACTGTTTATGGGATCACCCTGAAATTCTATCTCATTTTGTATTGAATGAGCTGAAGAATTAAAGAAATACCTTAATGCCCTCCAAAGGAAGAAGGCTTGAAACAGCAGGAATTCACTGTCTTTGGCTACAACTATTTCTAAAGGAAATCTTCAAACAGCTTCCTTGTGGAGAAGAAATCTAGAAATAGTTTGAGCCTAGAAGCAATAAAGAACACAAATGGGTGTTTGTTATGTCTAATGGTTTGCTGTTTCCTACTCAGCATCTGAGTGGGAACCATTACTCACCTCAACCTGCTGTTTTCTTGAACAATTTTTAGAGACTCTCCAAGCACCTTAGACTGTCCAGAGAGCTATTTTTAAAAGAACCCTTGGGATTGTGTAATGAGTGCAGATGCTCAGCCACCCATTTTGATTCCAAGTCTTAGATAACAACATGTTGAAAGAAAATATCTTACAACATACAATAACATAAACACATATTGATTCTTTATTTTACATTTATTAAAAATGTAGGGTTATTTCTTTCATATCCTAAAAAGCCTAACAGATGCCTTGTCAGTATAAGTATTTCCAGGAAAATGTTAGTATTTTTTTACAAATTATAGAGAGCTTCAGGCACTAAGTTATTGAAAAACACCATCAGCAGTTTATATTTATGTTCACATA